CACAAATTATAATTCGACCGTATTTCAGCCAAATTATCAAGAAGACGTCGTCACCAGTAAACAGCGCTATATACAGCATGCGAGTACTAGCTCACTTGGGCAATATCCGTCACCGAATTTGTACGTCTGTTGATATTTGCAAAAATTCTTACTCGTTCTCAAAGTATCAGTACTTCAGGTCCAAAGACTCTACGCCGTCTGGGGCTTTCTTTGATGGCCAGACTGAAATGGTTGAGATAAACGGAGGCACTATTAATCATACACTTGGTCATCACACAAATGTGACGATAAACGTCAACCGTACGCTCCAACATCGACCCACACCAAAAATCATTAAGACATGCTGACCTCTCCCGTGAACAGGACCACATGGGGAAGAACACGACACTCTCCAAATGGTACGTCTCAGTTCCTAGTCCGTCAATGATATTACGAGTTGTCCCAACTTTTATTCAGCCATGCGAGTGTCATGCACCAAACCACATCGCCACGCCGCCTTCACAAGATGTTCATCATGGGCAAATTCCTCCAATTCCCGGACGTGACCAAGGGGTGAGTCGTTTTTAGGTCAAATACCTTAAAGTCAAAGTTATATAATGCATACTTAGGTCTCAGTGTCGACAACAATATATGCCCCTGACAATAGTTACGACATCTACAACCGACACCTTTTGCTGAAGAAAAGAGGCTTTTCCCTCTGGATTCCGGAGCCCAGCAGAACCTTACCCATGGAATATCGGCGAAAAGGTATCAACATAGGCGATGTTGGGATTATAACGCCTTCAGGGGGGTTTTCGTTCCTGTTCAACATTTGTTTGCCACATGATGACCCAATCAATCCTTCGACACTTCCCGAAGGCTTTGCTCCAATTTACCCTCCCATTGAACCAATGGATATCTGTGAAGACTCAGAATTTAAGCCTGAGAGCTATCTGGCGGGTCCGACTATTGAGAAGAGCAACAACACGCAATTCCGGTAAGCCAACACTACCCCGCGCATCTATTAGGGGAGCTCAGAGCGCGGCTCTAAGCAACGCTTATCCGCTTATTTGGGTAAGCGGCACTAAGCCCCATGTAACATCGTGATTGCTATTTCAGGCCGCACATCAGATCAGCCATCAATGCAAAGCCGGTGGCAATTCCGCATCAACGGCCGTGCGTCGGCATGTTTTGGTCCCCCTTCAACAAATCTGCACCTTCATGCATCGCAAAAATTGGCATAATTCTATCGTGATCCTTTATTGCAAGAATACCATAATTCTAAGCTCATGAAGTTTAGTTCTATTCAGATATGGTCATACCGGCTTCGTGAGGATTGCGTGAGGCCTGACGCGCCTGACGGCATGCGCCTTGCATCTTGAAAGTCCGAGCCGTCACAGCCGCGAGTACCCAATCTCATTAGTTAGGGTTTATTTTTTGGGCACACAAAGAATTTGGGGACATATTATAAGCTTAAATTATTTTATTCGAATTTACAGAACTTTTATAGAGCTGTCTTGCCATCGTATGCGTACTTCGAGACTTCGGGAGCGACGTCGTCCTACGGACTCCTGCCATTTTAAAATAGAACTCAGCTGCTCGCGCCGAAGGTTAGGCAATGTGGCAGTGATGGTCGCCTTTCCAAAACCGTCAGGTCGGCCACGTGGATTGATGTGACTGACTGTGACTGCTTAGAGATAAACGAATATGCGTTGCTTAGGTAGGCGCTCTGAGCTCCCCTATTGATCTATTCTCACCAACATGCGGCCGTCCCCCAGCGGACTGTCATTTGTAACCTCCGCAGTGGAGGGTGGGGTGCTCACCCTCCCGGATGGTGCAATTGCGCGGAATCTCCGGAATGTTCGGCGCTTCAAGGCTTATGCCGCTGCCAACCTCGAAAATTGGTATCGATACGTCAATGGAGCTCACGGGCGTGAAGCTAAAAACGGTGAGCTCCGCCTTGTCATAGGTTGTGACAAGACCACTTCCTGGGGTATGGCGGCTGTCGCGAATAACATCCAAAATAAAGTTCACCAGCTTAATTATTGCCCCATTGGAACTGATGGGGATACTACAGCACCGATACCTCAGTATAAATGGGAGTACACAGGTTTGGCCGAGGCGAGGGTAGGTCCAAGCCTCCAGGATGTTCGAGATTTGGAGAGAAACGATGACTCGAATGCGGCGGTCGATGGAAAATATTGGAATCAATGTTTGTTCATCCGCACAATGAACCTCGCACTCGACGATGATGTTTTCACCGCGATCAATCAAGAGCTGGAGTTGGCACTTACCCCGGAGTCACATGAGTATCACAATCGGGGATGCCCCAGTGACTCAACTAATAACTCTCCGATTCCGAATGTAGGCACTCAGATAGGCAATCTCAGCCAACATCAGGGAACGAATTCGGCGACTCGAACACAGTCAATGTTTGGAGTTTTGGAACCCGCTGGGGATGTTGAAAGAGCACGTGTGATGACATCGAGATCTCCAACTGCACCAGTAAGTTTATTTGTGAAGCAAATACGTGAATTCTTGACTATTAATTTAATTTCTCAGATATCACACCCCGCTGATGTTTTAAATAAACTACTCTTACAAAAGGTCCATTTTAGATTATCGAGGATCATATTCACAGTTATTGAGATGATTTGTTGGCATTTCTAGGCTCCTAATAATCAGATTGTTATTACTCAAGACGAGGATTGGTGTTCTGTAATTACAAAGGTATTTCAACTTCTAGCCATCCCCAATCAATTCTGCGATCTAAACAACACATTTTTCAAGGATGACGAAATCATGCCAAGTCCTTCAGAAATTGCCGAACGTGTTCTTGCTACCCACCACATTAGGGAGGAAAATGGCAAGTAAATTTCAAGTTACATCTCATCTCGACGGTTCTGATTTGCTTGCTACCACGTTGGAAGGTGTTGTTTTTTTAGAACCAAAGATGGTATAACAATTCTAATTGATAAATTCTGTAAATGACGTTCATTTAACATTTATTGAAGCCATCAGCCGTCCGTCAATGTCAAATACCCACCAGCCAACCTATCGAAGGTCACACAGACTGGCAAAGACATGGTTTGGAAGGCTCTGCAGAATCGATTGGTTCAACAACGTATCCAACTTCACCTACCACCAGAAATATATTCAGTAATACAGAGAACCTCCGAGTGCGAGCATTAGAATGGAGAAAATATGCTAATTATCTAGAATCTCAACTGGACCAATCCTCCCCCAAAAGTATCGAACTCCGCGCTTCATGGCCGTTAGACATCGATGGGCTTCTTGACCCATCACTCGCAAAATTGGACTGCAAAACGGACGTCGAAAGTGATAGCAAGGATTCTCTCCCTCGAGATCCAGGACAAAATACATCCGTTCCATTGTGGCAGATGCCGCTGAAGGTATATTATAGTGCTTGGTTGTTCTCATCGACTACTCCTCATCTCATCATTTCTAGTTTATTGAGCATGAACCTCCTCCTCACGAGCCAACAAACTTGAAGGAGCTATTTAATTCTACATGGAGTTCAACGGTAAGCGGTCTTTTAACTTTATCAATCATTAATCATCTTTAATATTGGCCTGTCTCTAGCTAGAGGAAAGCATACAAATCAACCTTGCAGAATTATCTGCATTGCAATCACCGACTCAAACAAAACAACCAGCATGGCTTTGCAATCGTATACAGAGCCCTGATGCTACATATAATCTTCTTGTAAATGGCGCACTCGAAAATCCCTATGAGACCGAGTTCAATTGGTCACGACATCTGCCGGACACAGTGGCGATAGATCGTAGCTCTCATGATAAGTGCGTAGATGCTTATTTTTTCAATCTGCTTAAACTCATGCCATTCATAGGGCACTGGATTTACTCTTCAAGTTCTTCACGTCATGGTGTCTACGCGTCGTTCCTGATCTCTTTTTAAGGGATATGTATCGCGCACTGTGCGTCCCTGTTTCCGATCCACCGCCAAAGACCCCGCACTACTCGCCAATGCTTCATAACGCACTGCTGGCATTGGGCCTAGCATTTTTGGATGACCCTAAGTTGCGAGATCTCAAGTGTCGGCAATACTTCGCTGAAAAGGCACAAAATTTCCTCGAGATCGAGTGTAACGCACCCAATCTGAGTGTTGTTAATGCGCTCTCTATCTTGTCAAGCTTCCATCATTCCAATGGTAATCAAACGTTAGGCGATTTGTTCTTTGGTGTGTTGATATCTCTTGATACAAAATTCCGGCAACTGACCGCTCACAGGAATGAGTACCAGGATGGCCCATGCTTGTGAGTCTTGGTTTTTGACATTTGTCTTTTCGTTTCGTTTCTGAAATCAACTGTTCATTTAATGGGTTTAGACATCAGCCGCTCAAAGTGGGCTAAAGCAGGTACCATGGTCACGGATGAGGAAGAGCTGGTTGAGCGGCTAGATCATCATTGGGCATATTTGACAATGTTCACACAGGCAAGTTGCTTCTTCCCGACATATGGACTTGATTATATTTTTTATATAGGACGTATGTTGGTCCCTTGAGGTTGGCCGTGAACTCGATGTGCCAACAGCTGAAACCAGCGATCATGCATTCAAATCCACGTTAGGCCTTAGCCAAACATTGGTCGATGAAAATTATGATCAATTTCCATGGGTGCACATGCCGTCCAAGCTTGAACCTCAAGCGAATTATTTGACGAAGACTTTTAAGGCGACATGCGAGCTGTTAATGATCGGAAGACGTATTGTGAGGTCTTTACACTAAGCCTGGAATTCCGTATGGAATCCGCCGGATTCCGCCGGATTCCATAGAATGTCCACGGAATCCATCCGGAATATAGCCCATTTTCCCAATGCCCCAAGTCCCATACACTTTTAGTGCTATATTCCGCCCCCATTCCAGCCTCATTCCGTGCCAATTCCAATTCCAGACCGCCTTTTGGGCGGATTGAAGATGGAATATTCCGGCGGAATGGCCCGGAGTGGGCCCAGTAGTTATATTGCTCAGTAAAAATACATTGCTCGCAACAGGAATCGAACCAACGCGCCGCGTACTAATAATAGCGGCGCGCTAACCACTGAGCCACACAGCCGATATCCTGGGATGCATCACAAATAGACATGACACGCTATTGCGACTCACGTGCCGCGGCGTTGGATGCCGTTGCTTGTTTGGTCGCGCCGCGCCACATCAACGCGCAGTGGCCACGTCGCCTCTTGCCTTCGTCCCACTACCATCCCCCACCGCCGCACCACCTCCCTCCCCTCCCATCTCGTGCACAGCGGCCACGGCGGCCGTTGGGCACACCCACGGGCTCCCACCACCAACCGCTGACCACGCGCATCGCCGCCAGCCGCCGCCCACACGCGCCACGTCACCACCAGCCGGCGACGCCCCACGTCACCACACGACCGACAGCGAGCGCAAACCCGCACCGCAACGCACCCAACGACCGAGCGGAGCACCCGCGAGCAGCGGCGGACAGCGCAACGGCCGACCGCGAGCACACAACGAGGCGCACAACGAGCACCGCGGATGACGACGGAGGGACGCCGAGGGAGTGGGAGGGACAGGGAGGCGGAAGCGCCGCGGTGGGAGACGGACGCACCGTCGAGCACGGTGCCCCAGGTACGTCCCCCGCCGCTCCCCGCCGTTCGCGCTTACAACACCCTGCCAGCGCCACCTCACCGCCCGCTCAGCAGCGCGCCCTCTCGGGCAGACGCCGGCTCACTCCGCCACGTCACCATGCCGCCGCCGCGTCAGCGCACCGCCGCAGACGAGCTCGACGCCGCCACGTCAGCGCACCGCCGGAGGGCGCGCATCCCGACGCCCGCACAGTGCGTGGTGACGCCAGCGCCCGCCGCCGCCGCTTCCACCCGGACGCCCGGCATGTTGCGGCTGCGGAGTCGCGTTAGCGCCCGTCGCGCGCTTCGCCACTCCGCTCGCCCGCGCCTGCAGAGTAGATCCGTAGATTAGATAATTAGATTAGATTAGATCACCTCAAGATTAGATTAGATCGTGTATTAGATTAGATTAGATAACTATAATATATTACTTTATGATTTAATTTGGGTTACTGAGTGTCTTGATTGGGTACTTGTAACTAACTGTGGACTAAGATTTTGAACCTGGAATAAGATGGAATGAGCATGGAATAGCCGGAATGAGTATGGAATGACCAGAATGAGCATGGAATGGCCAGAATGAGTATGGAAATTCCATGGAATGAGTATGGAAATTCCATGGAATGAGTATGGAATCCCGGAATGAGTCTGGAATCCATCCGGAATACCAGGGTGAGTGTAAATTACTGCGTATTGTAGATGTCACGTAAGGCTTTGTACTTTTTTTTTTTTTGACATTTACTTATATTTTACCCGCAGAACACGTGTGGACATCGACTTCTCATATCCTATTGATGATCGAATCGCTGAGATTGAGTCAGCTTGTTCGTTGCTTTTATCTCTTAAAATACTGACTTCCGTAGGCGCAGCCTCAATGACTGGAAAGACCAATTATCACCCGAACTTGACATCACCCATGCGTCTCGGCCGACTGCAACACCGCACAAGCTAATGATGCACCTTACATACTGGTGGCTCAATATTCTTCTCCACAAACCCTTTTTGGGGCCCAGTGGCCACACCCCAATCCCAGCCCCAGATGATGCGGATAAGACGAATGATCATGTTGACGTATACCCATTTTTTTCAGTCTCCTTGACACTATTGATCGAACTGCTTTACCAGATCTGTTGGCGGGCAGCTGAAAACATAATGGAACTGCTCTCAACTTGGCGCGCAGCTTACACCCTTCGCTACGTACCTGTCACCATCATTCAGATCATTCTTGCGACAGGCACAGTATACCTGCGCGCATCGACGCTAATGCAAACCGCAGCTAGCCTTCTTACTCTTCCAACCCAACAGGAACTTATCGTTCAATTTCTTAATGAGATCGGCGAATCCTGGCACTATGCCAACAACATTGCTGATTTTATGAGAAAGTTAATGGACGAAGGGTTCCCACAACAAACCTGCTGCAGTGATGAAATTCAAACACGTCCCACTGTTCCGATATTCTCCCCCAACGTACCCGACATTTAAGGTGTATATCTAACTTTACTTTCGTTACATTCACGGTGCTGACTATCTGTATTCTAGTTACTTCGTACGCCGCTACTGCTACTACCGCCACTGTTATCACCGCTACTGTTGCGCTACTGCTATCACCGCTACTGCTATTACCGCTACTGCTTCTATACACTTTACGCTTTACGCTTGGCCGCCCTGTAAACCCCTATCAAGCCCCTATTTACCATCGCCTTAGCTACTTCTACTATCTCTCGTGCCTATGCTCTAGTACTTACCTACATATACGCTAGCAGAATTGAAATTTTGTCTGTTTATTCACTGTAGCCCCTCCATATCCTGATTCTTAATGAGCCGATCGTTGAGAGACAGTTCCTTCATGCGGTGCAAGCCTAGTATATGACACGCTGTAAGTCGTAGAAATGTGAGCGTGCTATGTGCGTGCGTAGGACGAAGAGGAGTCTGACTTTGATATACGATTGAGATACGACATAAATACACAACGTGAATGAACAGGGTATCAGCGACGAATAGCCAAGAGCGACCGAAAACAGCATAGAACAGACAATATAATAAGAGCATGGAATACGAGTCCCTTTCCCAAAATCTGAAGTCCTCTTTCACGACCAAAACCATCGTTCATGAGCGACTATCCCGCAGATGCATCACCCTTTCCGACGCAGCGAGGTTGAAAATTCGCCCAAGTGGTCAAGCGCTTCTAGTTCATCGAAAGAGAACGAACAAGTGTGCATGTTCCAGCCAGAAACTATCCCGAACCTTTTGAATCACAGACCAGCCCCGTTCAACGCGTCCTCGTAGTCGACGACTGGAGTGCATGCCGGGTATTAGCTCCTAGCTTATTGGAGAGCATACATCCCTTCCTTCTGTTGTTTACATTGCGTAGGGATAGAAAAAAGGGAGAGATGAGAGCAACATCAAGCTATATGGAAGCACGAAGGGCGAGTATCAGTCGTAACAATGATAATGTCACGAAGGATTGCGCACGTTGAGAGCGTTGAGACGAAGCAGGGATCATAGGTTCACGTCCCAGAGTCAAGTTGGAGGCGTTCCTGTAGCGGAGCCGTAGCAGGCGGCTCAACAGAACGTCCTGAAAGTGTCCACGAATGGTCGGCGTTTGGACACATGAAAGATTTCACAAACCAGCGCATTGGCAGAAGGAGTAGCACCAAGGTTTGGGACACAGCCACAGGCCGCGAACAAGCCGAAAACAACTGTAGACAATCGGTTCGAACTCCGTGGCGCGTCTGGCCAACCCCGCTCATGCTTGTCGCCGTCCATCTCGAGTCTCGTTCTCTATCCAACACCAGCCTCCTGTAACACGATATCACTTACTTGACGACTCCTACGCTTACCCCTATGACATCTGTAACTCAAGCCTGGAGTGGAACCCGATATCATCAAAATGAATTTACAGTATCATACCTTCCAACGCGTCTTCGTCCCATATAGTTCGCTTTGAGGGGCAATGTGTCGATCACGGAAAACAGAACGCGTCCATGAATACCAAGAGGTATGTGAGGTTGTCTGTACCTTCACATCTATGTACTGAGAGGACATCAGACCGCGGCACGGTCCCCCTCATGTTGCAATCGGCTCTCGCATCCACATTCCGCCAGCCCTCTGGACGCTAGCTACTCAGGTAGATGCGCAGGCGCGCTGCCTATCTGAAGGGCCGTTGCTTCTGTTAAGGTGTAGAAGGGTGTAGATGAATCGAAGGAAACAGAGTTCAAGTGCGTGTTTCCTCCAGGCTTTATCTATCCTTGAACGAACCATTGACGCTCCAACTAGGCTCTTATTTCCTTAGAAACGATAGCACAGCGCTGTTTTTATGCACCGCGGCACGCCCCATCCTCTTCCCGTTACTGAACGTGTCAACGTCCAACCCTCATCCTGATCGTTCTGTGGGTACGTTGACCAGATAGTTCTGTTTTCTTATTGCTGCTCATAACGTCTCCTATAGACCTTAAACTTCGAACCAAGCTCGATCGGCATGGGTGTCAGGTTTTCTCCATGCGGCTCCATCGCTTCTCAGTCGATCCTGAACGTTTGAACGTTGGCCCAGGACTTCCTTCCCTCATCGATTTCCCAGCTCTCCCGTCTACACCACACATATCTGGCTCATATAGAAAATGGAGCTCGCTCACAACCCTCATCCATCGTTCCGCGGGTACGTTGACCAGATAGTTCCATTTTCTCATTTAGCTTACAACGTTTCCTCTAGACCTCGAACTCCGAACCACGCTCGATTGGCATTAGCTTCAGATTTGCCCCATGCTGACTGGCCCCTCGCTTCTCACAAGTTCTCAGTCGCCCTGAACGTTGGCCCAGGCCTTCCTTCCCTCGTCGACTTCCCAGTCCGTCCGTCTATACCTCACTGCGCACTCCATCCTTATCTTCCTCCTGTGGAAATCAGAACACACTCTAAAGCACGACGCCACTCAACAAACTCGACGACGTCCGTTCTCTTTTCTGAACAGATACATTGCGCCTCTCACAGGACCACGAAGCCGTCTGCAGCACCTTCGTCCAGGAAACCTCGCCCGCCTGCTCCTTCCGCCGATTCGCTAGACGTCGACGCCTCGTAAGCGCGCGTAAGCGCCGCCCACCGTGGGATGGGCTGCCTCTTCTGAGGCGTAGACGACGCCGTCGGGAGCTCGCACCCTGTGTGAGAAAGAGTTCAGGTCTGTCTTTACATCTTCTTTGTTCATTGAAGATGCGCTGATGCTCTTACCTTAGATCCCTGGTGGTAGCTGGGCATCCAATCGTCTTCGTTGTTTGCAAGCGTGACTATCAACCCCTCACACTGTACGTAGCACCTTCCTAATGTGTCTTAATCATTGAACTAACATCCCTGGCGTTCAGATAGTACATCAATTCAACGGACTACCTTACTTTCGGCGCGCGCCAACCACCTCATGGTGCGGCCAAGGTCCAGTGTGCTCCATACGGACAGTGACGATAGTGGACCATGCGCCGCCG